GGACACTGTTGCTGCAGTGATTATTGGAACAGGCACAAATGCTTGCTATGTGGAGCGGACAGATTCAATTATCAAGTGTCAAGGCCTTCTGACAAAATCTGGAGGCATGGTATCTTTTCTTCGTAGCTCTAATTCATAATGATTTAATAACTGAATTCATGTGCAGTTGTACTGTTTATGTCTCATTCTAAGCCATCTGCTGTTAATCAGGTTGTGAACATGGAATGGGGAAACTTCTGGTCAACCCATCTGCCAAGAACTTCGTACGATATTGATCTAGATAGTGATAGTCCTAACCCAAATGATCAGGCAAGAGCCAGCTACTATTGAAAAACATTTTTTTTTCTCAAACTTGCCTTCCTCATGGATTTAGTGTATGACATGGCCTTGTAATTTTGGCTTCAGGGGTTTGAGAAGATGATATCAGGAATGTATCTGGGTGATATTGTAAGGAGGGTAATGCTTAGGATGTCAAAGGAATCAGATATTTTTGGGGATGCTACATCTAGGCTATCAGTGCCATTTATCTTGAAGTAAGTTTCATTAATAGATTTTTCTTTCTTAATATAAACATCTGGTATATACCCCTGCTCAACATCTAGAGAATCTCATCAATGATAAGCCTATAAATGGGTGAGTGAAACATCGGTCATTATATGGAAATCCTCTTTCTCTTTATATTCCTATAAGTATCTGCAATTTATATTGATGTTGTTTTCTTGTTTTTAATATTCTGATTTCAACATTGCTTCATTTCTATAGGATTCTAAATAACCTGATCTTTAATTGTATTTATTGCTTTTGATAGTTCTTCCTATGACATGAACATTCTTTTCCCCCATTGTCACCCTATATCTTGCCCCTCACTTGATTTGTGTCTTGGTGCTGTGGCTGCAGCTATCTGTTTAAGATCCTTTGTCCTTCCTTTTCTTTTCTGAAGTTCTAAAACCTAGGTCTCAAAGTTGTTCGTAAGGTGCAATGACGCGGTCTAAGCAGCAGTTATTGACACCTTAGGTATCCTGAACTTTACTCTCTATTTCATGATAGGCACAGTTTTTCTTCTATGTTGCTCATTCACAGTACATGACCATTTGCTGTCAGTTAACCTGTGGTTACATGGATTAATATAGAGAGCTGCTGCTTTTCACCTCTGTACCATGCTGATGCAAATCAGCCAGAAGGAATAACTAAGTGATCCAACCTATCTGCTTAGCTGTAACATCAGTTGCAAAGTCTTTGGATAACTTACATGAGAATTTTGTGCGTTCTTTATATGCCACATGAATGAAGTTTATCATCACATGAGAGAATCTTGTGTTGGAGCACCAGGGCCAGGGATTGAGTTCTAAAGAATTTATTCTGATAAAAGATGGTTTGCTGAGCCTGGGCTGTTTTGTACTTGTACCTTGCTATTTTCCCCTTTGGATGGTAAAGTGATTTCTAAGTATGCAATAAAAGTCAAATTTACTATTGACTATCCAAAAAAAAAATGCATGAATGAAGTTTATCGTGACATTAAGTAGTAGAAATAGGACATCAGAATTTTGTATATGATAAATCTAGACAAGTTGGGGAGCATCATGCATGTAATGTAATGTAATACTAGAACCTTTCATTGCATATCATTTTTATATCATCATCATTATTCTTGGAATAGGATAATCATTTCAATCATCTAGTGGCATCTGTATTTCTGTCTATCCACCATCCATGCATGTGATTATACACTATTATACACTATGATATGCTTATAAGTATCCACATGGTTTTATATACAGAATGCAAACTGGGAGTTTTATCACACAAAGACATCTCAGATGCCTGTTTGGTTCATGGGAATAGGGGTCTGGAATGGGCTATTCTGATTCCAACTGTTTGGTTGGATGGAATTGGAATCCCATTCCCATTCCTGCTGGAATGGCCATTCTCTGCCCCTCCCTTAGGAATGAAATCCCATTCCTGCTGATTTCAATTCCCATTCCCATTCATGTCTGAACCAAACAGACTATGGGAATGGCCCATTCCAATTCCGATTCTGGAGGATTTCGATTCCAATTCCAATTCTGATTCTGACTGCGAACCAAACGGACCCTGTGTAAAAGTGCATGAATATTTCTTTGCGTGCATTGCAAATAATTTCAACTATCAAAGTGGCTGAGCTCTCATTCATCTTTGTGATTGAAATGATGAAACAGACCTTTTCAGTGATATTTCTTTGCGTGCATCCTGTGCATTTAATTTCTTAGGTTTCATTTGTTTGTAGTGAAGAATGCAATTTCTGATTTACTTTTTACTTTGGGTTTTATCTATTTTTTGTTTCATTTTTTTTTGTACTTCATTGGTAATGCAAACAAATAAGATGAGGCAAGAGCTGAAACAGAAATGAACCAGAGTTTGCACTCAGATCATTTGTATTCCCATATTTTTGCATCAGATGAAATTGCACTGAAAACAAACTAGGCCTTAGGTTCTTGAGAAAAAAACAAGGATTTTCAACTCATGACAACCAAAAGGGAAGATCAAATAGAATAGCCATCAAAATTCCAAATTCTGACTGATTTTCTTTTAATATTTCTTTCTTAAAAACGATTAAATGACCGTTGCATGATGATTAATCAACTTTGATCTGTTTGCTTTATGTTGGAGAAGTTTTGGCCTAAAGACTCGACATGGACCCAAAAATTTATTCTTAGAAAGATATAAAACCCATATCCAGCCCAATCACAAGAACACTAAAATGGAACTGAAATGAAGCCCATTTTGTCTGCTCATCACACTATTATATTATTATCTCTCTGGGTCTGTGAAGGAGGGCATTTGTTGATAAAAAGCATAGTGTAAAGTTTACCTTTTTGTTGGTTTACTATTACATACCCTGTTGTTGGGTTTGTTTTTTCGTTTTTGCTTTTACCACTCTAGCATAACAGCCTTAGATTTCCTGTGGAAAGGGAAAATGTCCTAGCTAAGAGGGAGAAGAGATAGGGACATGAAACTTGGGCAGGGAGAAGAGATAATAATAATGTACAAGAAAGTCCCTTGTGGTGGGTGGCATGCATAACCATGCTAATTATCAGCTTTTCTTTAAGCGATGGCAATTAGTCTTTTCCTTTTTCTTCTCTCTACATAATAATTTACTGTTCATGCTTAGTTATACCCACCGTCCACATTATTCTCTGTCATGACATTTTGGCATTGACTCCCTTATTGATCACTTCGGGTCAGAATTCTTTTGTAATTTTATTTCTGTTGGTAGTTTGAGAAAGTGAAGCCCATACAGCTTTATGTCTACTAAGATCTACAATTGCAGAAGTATACGCCATGTTTGATAGTATTTAGAAACTTCAGAAGATGAAATATTTGAAAGTTGAGGGCCAAGGGCACGCCTGCCTGGGCGTCACGCATTGTTGCCCCCAAGCTGCTGCATTGACCTGGATATCTAGCATTCAAGTGGTCTGATATGTCAATAGTTATGAAGAAATTCTGCAATGTACTATACGGATTGTAAATGGATGAAACTCATTCTGGACTATGTTAACCTTCCAATTACCATTCAAGTGGTAAAATCATTGGTCCAATAGCTAAGAATTGGAGTATTCTGGATGGACTCCATATATGATTTAGTGGAATCAGATAGAGATCAACTATCAGGCTATTCATCTGAATCTCTTTCTCATTTGATCTAATTCAAACAGGGTAGGCCTGCCTTTAGTGGTTGTTTTGAGTTGTCCATAAATGTAATTGAGACTCAACTGCAAGTGTAGGGAAAGATGTATGGGTTGCAGATATGATAGTAATTTTTTTAACTCTGCATAGATAGTAATTTTTTTTTAACTCTGCATCTTTCCTTGTGCGACTTCTTTTAGAATCCTTCTGTATCTGCTTTGAGTTCTGCATTGTTCTCAACATCATGCGAATAGTATTTCTATTGTTGTTAAACTCTATGGCTTTTGCACAGCTTTTGTTGTACTCCTGACAGTGTAGCCAATGGAATTCTTTTTAACTTGGAAACATTAGATTTGTCCGGGATTATACGTTAAAGGCATTAATCAGGAGTCTATGGATGTCTATTTAATCTTCTTAGAAATCTTGTGTTACGGAGTTGATACCATCTTTAACGACTTAAAGTAGCATCTATTGACAGTTGCACACCAATGTGTTATATTTATTGGATTTACATATCGCCATTGGATTTTATACACTTGGAAAGGCCTTTCCGTTCATTAAATTTACTTTATCTGAATCTCGTAGACAAATATGCAACAAATTTTTACTCGAGTTCTAAATGTATGTATAGGACGCCTCTGATGGCTGCCATGCATGAAGATGATTCTCCTGACTTGAAGGATGTATCAAGAATCTTGAAAGAAACTCTTGAGGTACAATAGTTGTCTACTTTGTTCAGATGTGTTTATTTTTCCTTATACCTTGTATAAAAAATTTCTGTTACAACTTACCTTTTTGTCTGGTTCTGTTTTTTTGGATGAATTTTGTAGTCTGATTCTTTCTCTTTGAATGATAATGATATGCCTTTTTTAGATATCTGATGTCCCACTGAAGGTGAGGAAGCTGATCGTGAGAATATGTGATGTGGTGACCCGGAGGGCTGCCCGATTGGCTGCTGCAGGTATCGTAGGGATCTTGAAGAAAATTGGAAGGGATGGGAGTGGTGGCATTATGAGTGGAAGAACCAAGAGTGGTGAAACATCAAGCAGAAAGAGAAGAACAGTCGTGGCGATAGAGGGTGGTTTGTACACTAGTTATTCCCTATTCAGGGAGTACTTGAATGAAGCTGTGGCTGAGATTTTGGGGGAAGAAATGGCTCCGTATGTTGTCCTCAAGGTTTCAGAAGATGGCTCAGGAATCGGAGCTGCTCTGCTTGCTGCTTCTCATTCTTATCCCAGTATTGGTCCTGTAAACGTTGCCATAAAATGATAAAAAGTATATAGTCTCTTGTAAAAAGAAGAATTCATTTTTCATATTTATATATATATATATATATATATATATATATATATATATATATATATATAGAAGCTTCCATGTTGTGCAATGCCTTTATAGATATTGCATGTGAATATCTACTTTTTTCTTCTTTTCATTTTTGTTACAAAAATCACCAATCCATTGCCCATTGTTGATTGTTCGCTATCCTGGCAACAAGTGGGATCTAAATTCAAATTCCACGACTGAAAATCATAAATTCTATTCTCTACCCGTTTTTTATTGAGCCCATATACCTAAACAAGCTTATATTCACCCCAACGTTAGCACCATATACTGCTGACTCTGAGCACAAGTTGAACCCCAATATAGTTGTGGGCCAGTAAGGATGTCTTTTACAGTTGAAGATGATTTGTGTCATACGGGGAGTGGAACATGCTCACACAAATTTTGCGATTCCAAGAATTAATTTTTAAGTTTGGATGCATAAGAAATCTTCAAATCAAGTCTTGCTTGTGTTCAAAACTCATTTTAAAAATTGATTCTTGAAACTGAGAAATTTAGCTTGAAAAAATAATCATTTTTAGTTCGAAACTCGTTCATCAAATAGTGATTCTTTGGAGCTGAATTTTAACTAGGCTGGATTGAATCATGCCATGTCATCACACAAAGAAGAGTTAGTATTATCCAGGTGAGGAAAAAGTATGGAATATGTGTCAATTAGAGTTTACACGTGGCTAAATTTATGGCACACATCATTTAAATTACCACATTAGTCGTCAAATATGCCATGTCAGCTGGTGAAACGTCAATACTGTGGTCTAGATACTGATAATATATGATTTTATCAAAATGGGATCAAGTCATGCATCCTGTTTAATTTTTTCCCCAATTAAATACTGGAAAATGAATTTTATCATATACTTGGTCTATGCAAGTGGCAACCTAATATGCAGGATGCCAAACAGAACAAGTTTTTCATATACTTGATCCTAAGAATTCCAATTGAAAAGAAAAAAGAAAATTACCTAGGGACCCTAATTATTGAGGGAAGAGTAATCAAAAGAGACTTTCAAAAAAGTAGAGGATAATGTAAACAAAAAGCTTGCAGGATGGAAGAGAAACTCTCTTTCTCTACGAAAAAGGGTCACCCTCCTAAAGGCTTCTATCGCAATGATGCCACAGTTCCTAATAAGGTCCTTCAAGTTTCCTAAAGAGTTGGTAGAAACCCTAGAAAAGAAACAGAGAAACTTCCTCTAGGGAGGTAAGGAAAAAAAGAGCATAAATTTGGTAAAATGGGACACAATTTGTAAGCCCAAGTAAGATTGTCAATGGACTGGTTTTGGATTGGACCCTGTCCAGTCTAAAATCAATTTGGACGGATTGGATGGACCAATAAAACATATTGGATTGGACCAATCCGGTCCATAATATTTATTAGATTGGATTGGACCTGGTCTATTTGTAATAAATTTATATTAGATTGGATTAAGACAATATTTGGTCCATTGATATAAAGCACTATTCATTTTCTTTCTCTTGCAATCCATTCATCAGAGTCATCGTCCGCCGCCGCCTCCGGCAACACTTCTGCCTATCTCCGCTCACCTCCGCCTCCGCCTCTGGCAACGTTGCTGTAGGTGGGCAGAGGCAGCGGCGCTGGTGGTCATTTCTCTACCCAACGCCGCCACCTCCGCCCACCAGTGCCGCCGCCTTTGCTTTTGCCCACCTCTAGCAACGTTGCCGGAGGCGAAGGTGGAGGTGACAATGTTGGGTAGAGGAATGACCACCAACATTGCCGCCACATTTGCCTCTACCCACCTCCGGCAATGTTGCTGGAGGCGGAGGTGGCGGCGTTGGGTGGATGAATGACCACCAACGCCGCCACCGCTGCCTCTGCCTCCGCTCACCTCCGGCAACATTGTCGAAGGCTGTGGTGGGCGATGGTGCTGATGAATGGATTGAAAGAGGAAGAAGATGAATAGTGTTTTTGCCATAAATTGATATTATTTTTAAAAAGTTAACCTATTTTTGAATTTTTTTTAAATATTACTTTTATTGATATTAGGGCCCAAAAGTTGCTTATCTGCTATCCCACAGAGAAATTCTAAAAAAAGGAATTGGTTGGAATATATGAAATGATCAATCTATTAATTTGTGGAAAGATATTTGGGTAGGAAAGTCTTAGGACCTAGGGAGAGCATAACTATAACCTATTGGTAAGTGATGTCATAAATGACACAAAAAATTATAATAATGACAAAATATTGGGCCTACTCCCTCAGAACCTATGGGAAAAAATCAGAGCCATCCCATCCGGATGAGGGAGCAACAAGATTCCATGATTTAGAAACTTGATCCTAAAGGAAAATTTTCAATAAAGACGGTCTATCGACTGATGGGGGAAGGTTATGACCATGATGCAATGGAAAATAGACAGAGTAAACTATGGAAATTAATATGTCCGCAAAGGATCATATTCTTCCTCTACCTCTGTTTAAAAAAGAAGATTTTAGCAAACTCAAGGTTGAAAAGCCGGGCCTTAAGAGGTGATGCTGATTGTCCCTTATGTGGGCAGGAGGAGGATAATGAGCATTTGTTTATGTACTGCCAAGACTCAAAACAAGTATGGGAGATTACAGGGGAAATTAGACTTACCCCAATCTCTAATTAGTCGATGATGGAGTGGTGGGATAGGATCCGACGTAACACAACAGAAAATAAGCATAAATATGGTTTAGAAAAAGTTTGGTTTATTCTATGGAATATATGGGAAAAAAGAAATGAGAAGATATTTAACAATAAGTATGTTCCCCCAGTATAAGTATAATTAGTGCAAAGATCAGATCGGAATTTGATAAATATCTTAAGATTTTCAATCTTGGTAAAGAGATAGCAAGGAAGGTGAAATTAAATATTGGATGGGCCAAACCAGGAGTGGAGACTGGAGAGATCAAAATAAACTTCGATGCCTCCCTCCCACAGGATGAGTGGCAAATGTGTCATAGGAGCAATTATGAGGGATGAATTAGGTCAGTCCATTTATTTGGACCAGTTGTAGAGATATAGGTGATTGTTCGATAAATGAAGTTGAAGGATGAGCCGCTTTTGAAGCCCACCAAATTGCATGCGTTAACTATGATGATTCGAGACTTGTCATCAACTACCTCAACAAGAAGACAGAGCCTCCATGGAACATCAGTAATTTCATCGATGGATGCCACGACTTGCAAGACCTCAATAATCTTAGAATAAGATATAGACATGTTCTCAGAGAAGCAAATAGCGCAGGTGACAGATTGGCAAACTTGGGACACCTAAGAGAATTTCGAGCCCCTCCTCTAGTGACTCGGATTTGGCTTTTATCTGTTTACTTAGATGCTTGTGGTTTTTCTTCTCGTTTGTCTAAGGTGTAATTTCCCTTCTTCTGGTTTCTCCTTGTCATTAATTCCAACTAGTGAATGACCCCGTATTAAGTACGGGGAATCCGTATTATTAAATTTATATTTATTAATATTTTAAATAATTATTAAAATTTTAAGAAATATTTATTTTAAAAAATAGTTTTTCAATATTTATTAGAATATGGATTGAAATTGATTGTGGATAACCACTTTTATATTTTCTATATTTTGTAGAAATGGATTGAAAATGGTGGTAGTGGGTTGTGGGCTTTAACAGTAATTTTTTAGAAAATGCCATGTGTCTACCTTTTCAGATAAATGAGAAGGCCATGTGTTTGAATAGTGGGGAGTTGTAGCCTGATAATGGATTGTGGGCTTTAGCAGGAATTTCTCAGAAATCGCCAGGTGTCTAACTTTCTAAAAAAATGAGATGGCCATTTGTTTGAAAGATGGTAGTGGACTTTAACAGTAACTTATCAGAAAATGCCATATGTCACTCATTGGAAATTGGGTAAATTGTAAAAGACTTTCCATCGTATCCAACCTGGGCTTGGTTTGGGCTTCTTCAAATTTCACTCATTGATGGTTATATTTCCGTATACCGTAGCCTTAGGCCCAAGACGTTCCCTTGTGAGTTTGGACTCTTGCTACCCCATGTCTATGGAGTATAGAGAAAGATACAGAACACGATTGTCTCTCGCTCGCTAGTGTTGTTCTTCCGTGACTGTGAACCGTAAGCTGCGCAGTCTCTGAATCAACTCCTATGGCCGGTGAAAGCAAACCCAACGTCAAGAGCAAGAAGAGGAGGCAGCGTTATCTTCCCCATAATGTGAGTCCTCTCTCTCTCTCTCTCTCTATCTATCTATTGATCCCAGAAGAACCCTGAGAACTGTTTGATATGTGATCTCAATGAAACTTCTCTTACTCATTTGTTTTTCCTCTTCTTGTCTTTTGTCTTTCAGAAACCCGTAAAGAAGGGTTCCTACCCATTACGACCTGGAGTTCAGGGTTTCTTCCTCACCTGTGATGGCGGTAGAGAACGCCAAGCCACTAACGAGGCCATTAATGTCATTGATAGCGTATGCTTCTTTCCTTCTCTGTTTGTGCGTGTGTGAGTTGTCTTAGTATTTTCCTTAATCTTTTAGCTCTCCAAAATGGGTATACTATGGCTTCAAAAGTTCCAGTTTTTCATAGATAAGTTATCAATTTTGTTTTGTTTTTGAGGGTTGAATTTTGATTTTGTACAGAAGCTAAGAAGTTGTTTTTTCCTTGTAACTTTGAATTCTTCTGTTGTTTTAAATGGGTTCACCTTCAATCTTCAGTTAGTAGTGTATGTGGTCTTTCTAGATTGCCATTTTGGTGTTGTAGTAAATTCAACTTACCATTTGTAACTGATTATAGTTCTAGTGTTTGCAAATAATTGGTTGAGATATATGTTAATTTATGAAACAACCAGTTTCTCTTCGTGCAGCTGAAATCCTGGTGGCAGGAGGTAGTTGAAGTCGTGAATAACTTTCTACTCGATGGCTGATTATATGTTTTTGCTTCCAGAATATGGAATCATTTATTGTCTATCTTCATTTCACAGTGGGATTCATTTGAATACGAGAGCCTTTTGGGACGATCTCTATAATCATGCAAAAGGATTTAATGTAGTGGAAATCATCAAGAAACGGAGTAGGTTGAGGAAGTTATTTTGCTTTGAGTATATCCAGCCATAGAGACAATATGTTTTCTGATGTTTCTCTGCCCGTGTAACTCTGTTTCTGCCTCCTAAGGCCTTGTACTTTGTTAACTTTCCTCAGTTAACTCTTAATAAAATCTAATCTTTCTATTGGAATCTGATTCAGATGGAAAGGTGGAAGCTTGCTTCCCAGGAAAAAAAAAAGGAAAAATCTCCTCCAATTAGTATTAAAATTGGTACCAATGTTCTCTGCTAGATGATTTTAAATGCTAATTAAGTGACACTTTCTGTTGATTTTTTCTTATGCCTAGTATTAGTCTTTTATTTTTCCGTGTTTTACTCTTCTTAGTGGTGCCTGAATTTTGGTGCCCCCTCCAACTGTTAACTGCTGCGGTTTACAGTTATGATTCTTAAGAACCACATTTATTTTTTGGTTGGTGAGACCATTGCTTCTTCCTGAGGTAGAAGTGGAGCTTCTTTATTTTCCAGTGGGGTATCTTGAGATAGTGTGGCAGTCTAGTACAATTTACCTGCTCCTGATTCTATTTCAAACTCTTATATGGCTTATTGACTGGAGAGGATATTGAGATTCATGTTGTATCCTGCCTTTTATTCAGTACTGTTCCTTTTGATATTTTCTAGAATGTTTGAGCCCCTCTTCTGTTTGCGTCCTTTACTAATGCTTGCTGCTACATTTGAGCTGGTATTAAAATTAAAACACTGCATTCATGGCCTCCTTTCAACATTCAGTTACAGAACTTCAAAATTGAGACATAGGACCATCCAGATCAAGATAAGGACTTTAAACACTATTCTTTATGGAGGCAAGATGAAATTACTTATTTGGTTGCTTTTTGTATTGGAAAATTAGTTACTCAATGCAAGAAGTGAATAGACGGATGCAATAACATGTAGAAAAAGCCAGAAGGCACACTAACATCACACTTCAATTGGTGATCTGTCCACGAATTGCAACCTAGTTGCTATTTCATGAAATATTTAGAATTCAGAAAGATAAAGGTGGGGTTTGAAGCTTGCTTTATCTCCTTAGATTAAAGAACTTTCTAGAAAAGTTAGGGGTTTTGATCTTTCTGGGTTTGAAAACTTTCATCATCTTCTTTGATGAAAGTTAGCTGTATTTAGGACACTGATAAGTTAGCTGATATTTTGCACTTTCACACTCATGGAAATACCAATTTCCATGACTATGAAGGTTAGGACACTGATAAGTTAGCTGATATTTTGCACCTTTACATTCATGGAAATGCCAATTAGGTCACTCTTAATTTGTTTTAAGACCTCTTGGTTATTCTTGTATGCAGGGAACAACTCATTGCTTTCAATGTGCAGAGAAGATAGCAATATAAAATAACCAGAAAAGTTAAATGAAGTGACAGATTTAATGTAGTTTTCTTGGTAGCCTACATCCATGGGGGAGCATCAAAATACCACTACTTGTGGAAAAGTAGAACATACAAGGATGATAAATTGAACCCTCTCCTATGCAACACAAACAACAAAATAGAAATCCACTGGTCACAACTATGCATCTAGTGAACTGCATTGCTAGGATTGATGTTCAAATGTTTACATGAAAAAGGCTTCTAGTAGCAATAATCTAAAACTTGGAATCAAGTGTTCTTTTTTGTGTCAAGTCTTGTGACTTCATACTTGCTTATGCTCACTAATTTCTCTTATTAATTCAATACTTCTACTCTTACAATAAAAAAAGGAATTCGGGAGCCAATATTAGTGGATAGTGGATAGTGAATAGTGGATTGAAGGAGATCCCAGCACCCAAGCTTTTGTTACTTCAGTCATTGGGGTATTAGCATATTTGCAAGACATTGTCAGTGATTTTTTCTTTATTTAGGTATTCTTGTATATTAATACATGCCCTATGCTTGTAATGCATAAAAACTAAGAATAGAAAGACTTGAACACTCATTAATATGCAAAATGAATTTGATGTGTTTTTTTTTTCATAGTTTGGAATATTCTTTTATTAGCAGTCTAAACTTGGCAGAAAGCTTGCTGTTAGATTAAAATTCCTGTTTGTTCTTGCTTTATAACATCTTACATCTATCAGCTTCATATTGTGATTTAAGTAGTCTGTCTTTTAAGTTAGTGAACTCTCCTAGGTTTTCCATGTGTTGCATCATCTCAGAATCATTCACACACCATGTACACTTCCAAGTGAAAGAGAAAGAACTGGATCATGCTTATTTTACCTTTGGAATCTCTAGATTAGTTGCATTAAGTATCGGATCTTAACCTACTTGTCTGTGATATTGTGCTGAATAGTCATTATCTCAATGCTTCCTCTAAAACAAAATCTTATTTTTTTTTATTCGTACCATCCTCCATTTTCTAAACATGTCTAGAAAATGAATGTGGCAGAAATGCAAATGCTAAGATGAATAAGTAGAAAAACTAGAAAGGATAGGATTAGGAATAAAGTTATCCATTGGAACCTAGGAGTAGTTCCAATAGGTGATAAAATGAGAGAGAGTAGATAGTTTGGGCACGTGCATAGAAGATCACTAACTGCGCCAGTTAGAAGAAGTGAATTGTTGCACATTGAAGGGGCTAGAAGATCTCAGGGTAACCAAAAAGGACATGGGTAGAAGTAGTAAGAAATGATTTAAGCACTAATAATTTAACAGTGGATATGGCTTTAAATAGAATGGATTGGTGAAACAGGTTGACCCCATATGGTTGGGATAAGCATGGATGATGATGATGACCATCCTCCATTTTTATGGACTCCATTAAGTGAATTTGACCTTGATCTAGCGTAGGCCTTTTTAATTATTTGTATAGCTACTATAGCATAAAAAATCCCATTCCTTGTCAATCACAGGGTTGGAGACTATCTGTTGTGCAAAGGGTATGCACAACAGATAGTAGCAGTTGTAATTGATTGCTTAAAGCAGTAAATGTGGAGACTATCTTGCGTTTGAGAAGAATTTTCTCTCAGCTCATGAATTCATGGTCTGAGCATGAGAGAGTTTCTTTGTTACAATTCACAAAGAATATGGTGCTAAAAGTTTTGACCTCTTGTTATGTTCATGTTATGAAAAGATTATGTGACATTTTGATGGAAGTCATTGGTTTTGAATTTAACTTTTCCCCTTGCATGACCCTGAAATATGCTTACAATATTTATGCCCGTGGGTTCAACCACTAAATAAATTGTTTTCCCCTCACTTTGAGATTTGAATAGATTTTGTACTCCCGCAGTTAGCATTTCTTTTTATTTTGCAGTTCTATGAGGAGCTAGTCCATGGAGAAAGCATGTGTGTGCAGCGTGCAGTGCTTCCAAATAAGCCCATGAATAAAATAACTAAATTTTCAGATTCTGATTCTTCAAGTGCAGAGGATGGTGATGACAGTGATGAGGATAATGAGTCAGATCCTCATAAAGAGGATGACACAAATTGTGAAAATCCAGAAATAAAAAAATCTGATGCTCAGAAAGAAGATGCTGCAAATCATGAAAATGAAGCAAATGAAGAGTCAGGTTCTGCAAGTCAAGCAAATGAAAAATCAGATCCTCAAATAGAGGACCATGCAAGTCATGAAAAAGGAAATTCTGATCCTCATAGGGAGGAAACTGGTAATGATGAAAATCAGTCAAATGAAATAGTTGAGGCACCGGCAAAAAAACAACGCCTAGATACTGAGACATCAAAATGTGAAAATGCAGTCTGTTACAAAAAGGAAGAAAAATCCATTGATAAGCTAATTGAAGCTGAACTCAAAGAGCTGGGTGATAGGAACAAGGTGAGCTTATAAAATAAACTGAATTTTTCTATACAATTTTGGTTTATATTATTTTTAGAAAGGATATGCAAAAGAGGTATGTGGGATTTTTATTTGGCTCTTCATTACTTCTTTTCTTTTTTCCTCATGTTTGTTTCTTGAAAAAAATAATGGTGTCAATATGTCTTCCCTTTAACAGATTTTTTCCTTTGTTCTGTTTAATATGCTGAGATTTTTCTCATTTATAATGTCCTGATCTTCTTAGATTTATTCTGTGCTGCAAAGGAAGTAGATGATGCCAATTATAGATTGATTAGTCTTTAAGTTGTTATTTTTTAATTAACCTATGGGTGTTAACTTTCTTTTGATATTTCCTCTGCTTTTTTTCTTGCTTGATTCTTCTACCTCCTTTATCAATGTGTAGTATTTTTTTATCAATATATTAATGCTAGCTTGTGAGCTGGTCATTGTCCCTAATCTCTTAGTAATCTTCAATACATGTACTGAACTCAATTGACCTACATACCAACTTTTGGGGTCAGCTCTTTAAATCCTGTCCTGCCAATATGCTCTATCAAGAGAAATTTACATTTTACATTACATGTAATTTCCTAATAATCGATATATGTTATTAATCCCTAGATTGTCATCCCAATACATGATTAAAAACAATGTTTTCAAAACCGGACCGGACCGGACGGTCGAACCGGAAAATGGTAACCAGTCACCTGACTGGTTCCGATTTACCCCAAAACCGTTATTTGGCCAAAAACCATTGATTTGTTTAGCGAACCACTGACCCAGGTGGTCGAACCATCAAACCATCAAACTGGGAGTGGTTTTTGGCCATTTTTTGGGTTCTTTAAATTTTTATTTTATTTTTTATTTTTTTTGTCAAAGCAGGCCGTCCGTTCGGACTGTTCGACCTGGGAACCAGACCCAGAACGCTTCCCTGTCCGGTCTGGTTTTAAAAACCTTGATTAAAAAGAGTCAGATGTATTTTCATGTTGTTCAACATAGGACCTTTCTCTCAAACCCCTTTGCTAGGGATGCCAACTGATAGGATATCAGCAAGACTAAAACTCCTCTTTATAGTAAAGTAAAATTTATATACAGAAAAGCTAAAATAAAGCCACATAACACATTACAATATCTACAAAGTGACATACATACAACCCCCATAACTTACAGAGCCAACTCAATTGGTGCCAACAAATCAATTTCTAAACCTAAGACTGGAAAATTTTAAAGAGTACAACTACAAGCAAACCCAACTAAAACTGTTTAGTGTGGAGATCAACCTCTGACAGAAGCATTCCCAACTGTTTGAGATTGCCTAGAACAAAGAGTGTTTGGCAGCAGATGCTTTCTCTGTTGGCAGTGAGACGGGTGATTGGTGCCCCATTTTTAGAAGGAATTTAAATGACTGGGGGGGTGGAACCTTGGATGGAGTTGCAGCAAAGGCTAAACTTGATAAGACTTGATAGTTCAAGACAAGATAGAAGAATATGGATGTGAGAGACTTAAGGAAGATTTACAGTCAAACCCATTCTATTATAAGCAGATTGGTGCTGAGACAGAAATATTCCCGGAGGTTGGAGTGTGGAAATCAGCAGCCCCTGTGAAAGTAGTTTTCATGGTGTGGAAAGCTACACTGGTGAAATGCCTCACAGTTGATAATCTGACTAGGAGGGGAATGGTGGTAAGTAACAATGCATAATGTGTGGTGAGGCAACAGAAGAGGCAGACAATTTATTCATACAAAATGCAGCTTTGCAAGAAGTTTATGGGTAAATGTTTTGTGAGTATTTGGGATACAGCTATGTTTCCCAAAGTCTTATCAAGTTTCCCACATTGGTGGAGCTGTTGTTGAGCTGGCAACAGAAGAGAACTAATGGAGGTGGGAGATGAAAACATCAGAGGCTCCAAAGACACACATGGTGTTCCCCAACAGAGCCAGCTGTTTGGCCATCACCTGAGCCACACTGCAAATCCGAGCTTGAGCATGGTTGCCAATCAGGAGAGATCTTGTTCACCCCTAGAACTATCCCTTATCCTTTCTTCAATATGTGGAAACCCTTCAAATGACTATACTTCTTATATACTGTAAACGTGTTCTAGTAAAAATATAAAAACTTGCTGAAGTTAAACTGGATAAAGTCAAGCACCTGAGTCTTATTTTATTCTTAATGTTCTCAGCTTCTGTTAAAAATTTAACCTGGCTAGGTTTTGTGGTTGAAAGAAGTCGAAAACAGTTCACTTGATGTATGGAACTGTTTGAGATTAGATGCAAAACAGAAACTAAACAAACAAGAGAGGAAGGGAAGAGAGAGAGCTGGCGGCAATGAGTGTTAGAGAGTGAGAGTTTCGAACTTAACCTCACTCTAACACTCTAAACATTTTATTAAGGTGTTAATCTTTGATAAATTA